AACAGGAAGGTGACAGGTCAAAATGCAGTGACCAGCACCTCTGAGTATATTATATTATAGCTATCCACCATTTCGAAACTTTGTTACAAGTATAAGGACATGAAAAAGAACATGATAAAAAATGGAGATAGATGAATAATAGACTTACCGTATTCGACTTCTTTGGATAAAAATTCAGCTAACCTATTTTATTGAGTTAGTCTTAATTGACAGTCTCTGTGTGGATAAATAAATCCATGGTGAAGAATCTGTTTGCTGGAGGCTTCGTGGTATTGAAGAAATACCGAAATCTTGCCAGAAAAGAGGAGCGAAGTTACATTGAGCAGTATACCCCGAAATGGCAGCAAGTCAAAGGGAATGTTTACGTGTACAAAGTAAAACTAGATTAAAGGTTCGTTAAAACCATCACTTGTACAACTGACTATAATAACGAATATTTATATTAAACCAATAGCGTTTTCTTAATAAAAGTGAATTCACCATAGTTCTGTAAAGTCAAATTCCTTTTGTTAAAGCACAGTTCAATGAAATACTCGGCTTTCGTCCTGGTGGAAATCAAGAGAAAATGTTGTTTCTATCCTGATTATCATCTCTGATAATGAAATATTCCACGTAAGTGTCTATGCAATGGTTTATGTATTTGAATTCGATATAAAAAGTTTTTTGTGTTTCTGAAGGCTGGAAAATATTGATATCTAAACTAAACCTGGGAATTTAACAACTAAGGATTCTAGAATTTTATATTGGCGATTCATTTATAAGTGCATGAGAAGTTTGTGTAAAAGTCAGGTAAAAACCCTACACCAAAGTAAATTTCGGAAATTTTTTTTATTGACGCAATATTAATCAGAACTTTTCAATGAGACTGTCGCGATAGAAATCTTTATTTTTTCACCAGTATGCTTGATGTTCTAAAACATCAAAACAAAACACTCACCTTTTTTGATTAAAAAATATGAAACAATACGCAATAACTATACTGACGTGTGAATAATAATGTTTATTTCCCATCTCCCAACATGTTCAAGTTCACATACAATCGAAAAGCAGAGCAAACTATAAATAAGCTTACTACTGATCAAAGACAAAATGCCAGCTGTTACCTCAGCCACGCAAGTTCGTGTCAACAAAAGAAGTAACTTCAACCAGAGTGAGACTGTTATTTTATACCTTTGTCTACCTCTATTTGC